CAAAATCAATTTATAACGTCATTCTCAAAACAACATATTTTATCCACCCAGAAGCGTTTCTTCTGATCTCTTACACAATTATACTGACAATTCCTATGTACATTATTGTCTGTACTGCTCTGCAATATATTGTGCAACTCCCCTGGGCGAACAGTAACTGCCAAGCAAATTGGATTCTGGTTACTTCATTCATACATTACAAGACCTGCTTAACAAAAGTGACACTGCTATATAATTGAAGTAGACTTTGAACAACTCCCCGCGGCCGTTTCTCAATCACACCATCTCAGTGCACCTGCCAATTCTTAATCACCCCATCTCGGCCCACTTACCAGACTCTCACGCCCACACGTACGTGCATTTCCGTACGCACAGACACAAAGAGTCAAAGCTCAGCAAGTAAGCATCTAGGATCCATACAATATTTGGTTGATCACAAACATTTTCAGGAAACACAGCGAACAGACCTAGAATTGGAATCTTGAGCGAACAGATTAACGGGGCACCTTTTTCTCCGAAAAATTCAGTGTATTTTCGGACTGCAACTGTGTGAGTCATTTTACACAATGCAAAACAAGAAAGGAATATTCTCAAAGAAAACGCTAGCAGTAGAAGAAAGGAAAATGGTTTGGTGGTGTAACAGGTCATCTAGCAATCAGTCTAGCAGAACGAAATCCTTCTGGATTTCTGGGATGGTCACAGTGCAATGATGATACCTCAAGGCGGCTGCCCTTCAGAATATTGGAGGGGAAAGAGGAAATGGGCAGCTGTACAATGGGGCCTCAGCGCTGGACTCAGGGCGTACTCAGGTGACGAATTTGCTGGGCGCATCTGAACCCTTTTACAGCCCGGCCTGGATCGACCCAACTCCAATTGCGTCCGCTGGTAAGTTGAAAAAGTCCCATGAGGACTTTCCTGGATGCATCTGGCCTTTTTTTTATGGCCCGACGTGGATGCACCTGTCAGGAATTATGACCACAGGTAAGTTGAAAAAGTCCCAGTATGGGCCTTGCTGCACAACTCGCCAAAAATGCACAATGAAAATGAATCTTTCACAAGAAGCTGCGAAGATGCACTGCCGTGAGTCTGTTCTTCTGACTTTGGTGAGTAGTGTGGGGAGGCCCGTGCCCGGGGAAAACAAATGGGAAAACTGAGCCACTGGATGGCCAGCGTGCCCTGTTTCTCTTGGTGTTTAGTAATCAATGTTGTTTTTCTCAGTGAGGCCCTCTACGTTGCTCTACTCTCTGCTTTCTACTTTCTCCTCTGCTGTACTGTACTCTACTCTGAACTCTGTGCCACTCTCTATTCTCTGCTCTCAACTCTACGCCACTCGCTATTCTCTACTCTCTACTCTATGCTACTCTCTGCTCTCTACTCTGTTCTCTGCGGTACTCTCTACTCTCTGCTCTCTACTCTGTCCTCTATGCTTCTCTCTGCTCTCTGCTGTGTTCTCTACTCTACTCTCTCCTCTACACTATTCTACTGGATTCTACTCTCTACTCTACTATCTACCTTATGCTACTCTCTACTCCACTCTGAACTACTCACTCACTACCCTGTTTTCTCTACTCCATGCTGCTCTACTTTCTACTCAACTCTACACTACTCTGTACACTCTAAACTGCACTACTCTCTACTCTACACCAAGCTCTACTCTGCTCTCCTCTCTGCCCTCTACCTTAAACTGCTATCAATTCTCTTCTCTACTGTCTGCTCTCTACTCTACTCTTCTACACTTAATGCTCTCTACTCTAATCCACTTACTGCTGCCTTTTTAATTCCAACTATACTTCTAGCAAATGTTTCCACTTTGGTCTTGTTAAATATCCTACTTTTTTGGCATATGCATGTAGGAATAGAGGAAATTCTAGCAGACTATATTCACCATGAAGTAACACAAAATTTTCTTTTTCTTTTTTTGAGTGTTTATTTTAATAATCATCAAATATCGTATGTATTTGTTTTGTTTGTTTTGGTGTCATCTTATATCCACTAATGAATCAAATCAATGTGGAAAAGAAGTCACCCACCTGCCTTCTTTCTCTGATGGAGACTCTAATCATTATTAGTATGCGCAACGTGCATCCCCAGACTGCGAATTCGGGGCTTTTCTTTTGCCAACGTAAATTATATATGCTCACGTATATTAATAGACATTGGTGATCGTTGCCCCTTCTACTCTCTACTCTCTATTTCACTCCACTCTACTCTACTCTACGCTACTCTACTCTACGCTACTCTACTCTACTCTACTCTCTACTCCTCTACCTTGTACTCTAATCCTACTCTCAGCAACTCTCTATTCTCAGCTACTCTCAGCTCTCTTAGTACTAAATGGAATGATACCCCTAACCATTTCTGGCGCAGGCGGAGCCGCACTGGCTATACTTGTAATAATAACAATGAAAAGTCCGAATCCTCCCCTTACAGCCAGCCACTCAAGAGGTCTACCATAGCCATCTCATACATCCGCCTGCTATGGCAATCAAGTGGCTATGGCGGCCTATCGAAACGAAGCTCTGATGTTCAGGGGACAAGCCAAAGCTACTATGTCCCTACCACTATGGCCACCATGCCTAGCACTACCCCTGGAGTCTTCCTTGTAGGTGCCAACCCCAACTAGTATCTTCCAGGTGCAGTGCCAACCAAGAAGATGAAGATGACAACCACCATTGCGAGGTAAGCTTCCTCGTCACTCTCCTCCTTGCTCACCGTCTTCCTCCTCCTCCTGCTTCTTCCCCCTGCTAGCCTTGCTCCTCCGCAGGCATAGCCAAGGTGGAGCCCAGGGCTGCCTTCTCGCTCCTCCACTCAGTGCCGCTCAGCTGCGTGGATGCTCCAGCAGCATGCATCCCAACCTGCACACTAGCAAAATGAGGGGGAGCACTTCGCCTCCCAGTTTGATATACTTGGCAAAGTGCCTCCTCGCGCGGTTGCTCTGAGGCCGCATGGCCTTAAGTCTACCCGGTATCTCCCGCTTTCTGAGGGAAACATCATGGCAGTCTGATATCCCCTTCTGCAGGCTCTAGACTCAGGCTACTTGGACGGGTACCTTTTGTCTGATATCCCCTTCTGCAGGCTCTAGACTCAGGTTACTTGGATGGGTACCTTTTCTTCTCTAAGCCTACTGGAAGATAAAATATACTTGTCTTCTTCTGCCTACCTACCTGCTACTGAGTGTTTTTGGCCTCGTGGGCCTTTCCTACGCTACTACCCCGCCGAGCGCCCACACAAAAACAGGGCCACAGGTAAGTACCAGCCCCGTGGGCCTTCCCACCACACAAGTACCCCAGCAGGCCACACGCACAACCGAGCAATCATGCAGACAGGCAAACACACGGGACCTCAGCAATCACAGATGCACACGAATCTCAGCAGAATACGGGAATCTCAGCGAGTCACAGACAGGCGACAAAACCCAGAAAACAGCAGGTTTCTCAGTCTGTTACGATCCAAAGTATACGTTCATAAGAAAGTACAATGCCGTCCAATTGCAAAAGGAAATGAATGAACTTGAGAGGAGAGAGAGGGAAAGAAGAAGAAGTAAGAAAGAAGAAGGTGATGAAGTACTCCAGCATAGACCATTGACAAGGCTCTTCTTCTTCGCCAACCAATCTCCTCCTTATCTCCTCCCCTCTTATTCGAACGAGAAATAACAATAATAATATTGAATGGCTGCACCAGAATCAATGTCCGAATCCCACTTCTATTGCAGGCACAACATGAGGTCCACCATAGCCATGGCCACCCTTGTCCTTCCTCTCACATGTAGGCCGAGGCTATGACAGACTACGGAGGGCTCAACCCTCCTGTCCAAAGGACAACCCAAAGCAGCTATGTCGCTGCCTCTCCGTGCAAAGGACAACGCAAAGCAGCTATGCCGCTGCTCACTAGGCCGCCATGCCTGTCTCTACCCCGAGCTTCCTTGGTGCGGCATTACCCCAACGCTGGCCTTCCAGATGCAGCGCCTAATCAAGGTGATGAAGATGGTGTCCACCATAGCCAGGTAGGTACCTCGCCACTCTCCTCCTTAGTGCCCGTCTCCCTCCTCCTCCTACCTGTAGAGCTCCACCATAGCCAAGGTGGAAGCTCCCGGCTTCTTCCTCCCAGCAGCGCTGTAGTACCCAGAGCTACTCCAGCCAGCGCTCCAGCAGCGTGTCGCCAAACTTGCACACTGAAGAATGAGGCCGGCTCTTCCCTCGGCCTCTCGATGTAGCGGCCTACTTGCCTCCTGTGCGGTGACTTCCAGGCCGCTCGCCCTCCCAAGCAGCCGGTACCTCCTCCCTTTCGGAGGGAAACATCAGTGCAGACTTTGATATTGTCTGTACAGGCTCTAGACTCATACTCGATGGACTGGTACCGGCCTAGACCTAGCCTACCGCTACTGGGCCTCTAAAAATGCCAACTTTGTCTTCTTCTGCTCGGCCTCAAGTACCCGGCACATCTACTGCTACTGGGTGCGGTACCAGCCTGTTTTTCCGCTGCCCCTGGCTCCACTACTTGCTGCAGCCCTCAATGCCACGGCCACAGGTAAATATCGGCCCTACGGGCCTGCGAAACAAGCAAGTACCCTTGCGGGTTACACACACACTCATACCGACAAGCACTCAGACAGGCACACAGGTCAACAAGCACGCACACATAGACTTAGAAAACTCAGCAGAATGCGGGAATCTTAGCAAGGCATCCATTCTATCGGCAAAACTCTAGAAATCAGCAGTGTTCTCAGTGTGTGTTATGGCGGGTCATTACACTACCCCCCCCCCCCTCAAGAGCGAGGTCCCTTCGAGCGAGTAACTCAATCAGAGTCCTTGCATAATGCATCATAGGCGTAAATGGCAAAGAGAGATCACGTATGTTCTGTAGGAGTAAGGGTAGCAGGGAATCTAGGTTGTTGTTCGGAGCTAATCAGTCGTTCATATGCGTTGACGACTCGCGGGGCATTCTGCAGCAAATCTTTTTTAGCAATCCAATAAAAGTCATTCAATGGGTGGTATAGAAAATGAACTTCATATTGTTTGTTTCTCCCTTTTCCGCTATGCTCGACAATTCTATCAACCTCGTGACCACCCTTGATTGCGCGAGGAATCATCGATTCTCAATACGGAAAAGTTTCGGGTGGGGGATTGAGCTCCGGGTCCTTGGCAGTATGCTGAATGAGTTCCTCCTTCAAGTTCTTACAGAGATCGTAGGAACCCACAAGGCAAGTCGTGTACTCAGGATGGCGAGACAAAGCATCCGCAACGCGATTGTAACAACCTTTCTTGTGCTTAAGCTTAAAATCATACACTACAATCTCATGCAGCCAACGGGTCAATGTAGTTGATGGATTATTCTGTGTCTGGACCCATTTCAAAGTCTCATGGTATGAAAACACTTTGAAATGGCGACCCAAGAGGTAGTGTTTCCAATGATCTAGTGCCTCTTTCAAGGCATAGAGTTCGTGCATGTAAGTGGAGGCAACTACCTTTTGACTGGGCATGAGTTTGCTGTAATACTGAAGCGGATGTAAGCCGTCACCATCATCTTGCTGCAGCACTGCACCAATCCATACAAGCTTGCATCCGTATGTACTACGAATGTAAGTTTGGGATCTGCAATGCGGAGCACTGGATGACTCACCAATGCCTCCTTCAACGCGTGGAAGGCTGTTGTGGATTCCCCATCTCACGTGTAAGACACGGTCTTGCTTGTCAATCTGGACAGCGGACGGGCGATGGTAAAGAATTTGGGCACAAACTTACGGTAGTTCGACGCAAGATCGAAAAAAAACCGCAACTTACAGACATTTGCCGTTTGAGGCCATTTGCGGATGACCTCAACTTTGGTTGCCTCGATCTCTAGGCCTGGAGCAGATAACCGATGTCCAAGGTAGATGACGCTGTCCCTCCCAAACTCAGATTTCTCCAAGTTGATATGGAGTTGCGCATCCTTGAGGATCTGCAACACCTCCTCAAGACATGTCATGTGCTCCTCCATCGACTTGCTGAAGGTTAGTATGTCATCCAAATATACAACAAGAAATCGGTTGATATGATTGCGGAACACCTTGTCCATGAGACTTTGAAAGGTGGCCGGTGCATTCGTGAGGCCAAAGGGCATGACGGTAAACTCGTACAGCCCATCGCGAGTTTTGAATGCAGTTTTATGCTGGTCTGCAGGATCGACTTCAATCTGGTGGTAGCCAGACTTGAGATCGATCTTGCTGAAGACCTTGCATCCACCTGTAGCATCAAGCAGATTATGAATGCGCGACAAAGAGTATGCATTCTTTCTTGTTATTCTATTTAGTATGCGGTCATCGATACACGTCCGTAGTTTGCCTCCTTTCTTAGGGGCAAACAGAACCGGTGCACCGAATTCGGATTCGCTTGGCTTGATCCATCCCTTCTCAATCATGTCATCGATCCATCGTCGCAACTCTTCCAATTTGCCTGAGCCCATTCGATAGACACAACCTTTTGGGGGAGTGCTACCGTCTATCGACTCGATCTTGTGTTGGACCGGACACATGGGTACTCCATGCGGTTCGGCCAAGACTACAGGAAATCGGTTGAGAAGGTTGCGGATTTCTGATGGGATTTCCGGAGGTGGATCATCACATTCAGGTGCAAGCATATCGGATTGCATAGGTGCAGCCTAAACAACAAAATTCGAAGCAGAGTCGTTTGCACTAGAAGTAGATTTAGTAGAGGGAGAAGTAGGTGCATTAGAAGTAGAAACGACATGCAAAGTAGAATCATTATGTACAACAAAAATAGAAGGCATATGAGTAGGCCTAACAAAGGCTGTATACAATTGCTCATCAACTTTGCGCCTGGGCCACTTTTGCAGAATTTCATTGCGTTGAGAAAAGTTACTTGGGACTCATGCGGCTCATCCAAGAGGACTGGACGCTCGATTCCCATGGCATCTTTGACCATGAATTGTGAGTCTTTCCACGTGGTTCTTTCACATTGGGCCTGCAACCAGCCCAAGCCAATAACTGCGTCGAAGGGGTACTGATCAAGGACATAGAATTTTAACTCATGCGTGATTGTGCAGTCTGCGCCAAAGGTAGCGCACACATTTGACTGCATGCGTAGAGGTGACAACCTCTTGGTTGCCCACTTGGGTCCGACAAGGGTTCTCCAAGGTCACTTGCTTGATTCCCAAGCGTGCCTTGCGAATGTTGTGCGGTGAGAAGTAGTTGGCGGTTGCGCCACAATCAGCCAACGCACGGATGTAACGGTTGTTAATGCGGAGTTTGAAAAAGGTCAACTTCGTTTTTCCTTGTACGCGTTCTTGCTTCATGTGAGCCCAACGCGTCAAGAGAGCAGGAAAGTGAATTTCTTTCGACTCCACCCAAAACTCCATGTATAGGATGTGCAATTTTTCAGCCTTGGAATCAGCATCAGATGGGGTCTCAGGAGATGTTTGCTGAGTGGGATCAGAATCCGGGGAAGAATCTGCACTTACATGTTCAACCTCTCCGTCTGTAGAGTGTGCTGATGATATCTCTACCCACTTTGCTGGTTTCCCTGCAATCTTAAGCAATGTTGGATTGAGTGTCCCGGTTTGGTGCAATGCAGGCGAACCCCTTTCTTCACCCTGTGTTTTCACTCACTTTCATTGATCCGAAGATCTACCTATGGTTTTGTGGCAGGATCTTCCGGTTTGGGTGGAATCTTCGCTCCCTTGGGAAGGAGAATGGTGTGAGTGTTGTTCTTCACTGTTGTCCTCGACCCTTTACTTTTGAAGGCATTTTTCTTAAAGGCATTCATAGATTCATCATCATTCACATAATCAGACTCATGGGCTGACGAAGAGCAAGATGCGTCGTAGTTTTGCTCTTGATCGTCATCAAGAGAAGGGTCCTCTACGAAGGTCTCCTCGTCAACCTTAAGTAGATCATGTGCTGTAAAATGGTTGCTGCCCGGTAACCGTCTGTGGCTGGTGGTCTTTTTGCCACCCGATCCACCCGGGAGGTCTTCTCCGTTTGTGTAGTGTGCTGATGATATCTCTACCCCCTTTGCTGGTTTCCCTGCTGCAATCTGAAGCAATGTTGGACTGAGTGTCCCGGTTTGGCGCAATGCAGGCAAACCCTTTTCTTCACCTTGTGTTTCCACTCACTTTCACTGATCCGGAGATCTACCCATGGTTTTGTGTCAGAATCTTTCGGTTTGGGTGGAATCTTTGCTCCCTTGGGAAGGAGAATGGTGTTATTGTTGTTCTTTACTGTGGTCCTCGGCGCCTTACTTTTGAAGGCAATTTTCTTAAAGGCATTCATCGATTCATCATCATTCACATAATCAGACTCATGGGTCGAGGAAGAGCAAGATGCCTCGCAGTCTTGCTCTTGATCGTCATTAAGAGAAGGGTCCTTTATGAAGGTCTCCTCGTCAACCTCAAGTAGATCATGCGCTGCAAAACGGTTGCTGCCCGGAAACCGTCTGTGGCTGGTGGTCTTTTTGCTACCTAATACACCCGGGAGGTCTTCTGCCTCCAGCTTGACTGAATCCCGCATGAGGGAAAGCCAATTTGTATACGTTATGAGTTTGAGCCCCAGGCGGTCTGTTACAGTAGAGGGGACTATGCCTTTCATCACATCCAAGCAAGACTGTGCAGTCATCTCCAGATCAGGAGTAGCGAAGAGTTTACTAACGTACTGCTGCAGATTATGCATGGTGCCTGTCCACTTGTTGTGCTTGAGCTTGTCAAGCTTAAGTCTATCTTTGGTTGCAGCATGCGGATCAACATATTGTTTGATCAAGAGTTCCTCGAGTGTGGCTATTGGCGTAGCCGACAGCCATTTGTTCATGTCTATTCTTTTATAGCCTGATTGTACAACTTGGACTCCTGAGAAGCCCCTTACGGCAGGTTCCACATTGGTGCTTAGGACCGACGACTGAGTAACCGGGGGTGTTCCTAGCACATCAAAGTAGGATCGCATAGAGTTGATCCAAGATTCAATGTCGTCCTTTCCGCCATACTTAGACGGAATCTGTGCCGCCTTTCTGTCCACGTAGGGAAAGCTGCAGCTAGGACCAGCGATTGCTGGGTCCGAATTCGAAGTTGCAACAGTTCCAGAATGCCCTGCACTGCCACTTGCCGCTCCAGCAACAACAGCAACAACAACAGCAGCAACAACAGCAACAGCGGGGTCTAGACCTGCTGCAGATCCGGATAGGCTGTTAGCCACACTCAAAGAAGAAGAAGAAGAAGAAGAAGAAGAAGAAGAAGAAGAAGATATGGTTGGAGGGGCAAAAACGGACTGACATGCAACATTAGAAGCAGGGTAAGCAGGCGGAAGAACAGTTTGGGCCGGCTGCAAGTTAGCAAACTGCTGCAGCTGGTCACGGTGCTGCTGCGCCATCAGGGCCATATCCTCGCGCAACTTCTCGAGTTCATCAAAAACCTTGGCGAGTTGGCTTCTATGGTCTTCAACAGCCTGGACCTCTACTAAAGCCCCGAGGAGTGGGACAATCTTCTCTTCCACCTCATCATCAGTTAAGGCGGGCACGGTACTGAAGACGGCTTCATGAGCCTTTACTTTGTCACCCCTCTCCTTCTCCTTCTCTTCCTCTTCCCTCTTCAATGCTTTTTCTGCCTCAGGGGCAGCGTCCATTTGCAGCTTCCATTCTGTTGCAGATGCCATGATGGAGGACGACGGTGTCAATAAGTCTCTCAAGAGAGGTCCGTACTTCCTCACACTTCTGTGACGAACACTCCTCTTCCCTCTCCTCACTCCCTTGAGCGCAACACCCGGAAGCTTCTCTCTTCTCTCTCTCTCTCTCTCGTTTGCGATCGTGTAGACAGGCATTTAACGAACCCAATGAAAGAAACAACTTGAAAACAATCAGAAGAGAAGGTAGAACGCCTAGCCGGAGCGGCAATTCATTTGGACTGGAGAGCAATCGAGAAAATAAAATAAATAAAGATCAGATAGATCTAATTCCGCCATACAGTCTGGTCCAACTACGTATGAGGTCCTCTCAAGCCTAGCCGGACTCAACTCCGTACAGGCACAACAAATTAAATTCAAAGTGTACTACGTAATGCAAGAGAGAACTGAGTGGTGTCCAAGGTGCGAGTCAGGTGGCAGATCGTACGGTAAACTCTGTTAAAACGTCTCAGCTGAGGTCACCTCAGCAGCGAGTGTCCTGGTCCGAAAGCATGAACTCCGAGTCCCAATCAAATAGAGCAAGGTAACTGACGCCAACAGATTTGGGCCCGGTCCCATTGAGTCCCAAATGGTCCCAGTGGAGTCAGAACCGGGTCCCAACCAACAAGAGTTCCACAAAGACCTACTCTCTGTCTCTACCGAATTGAAAAACGAAATTTAGCCCCAGAAAGAACCTATAGACTACAATCGTTCAGAATGAAATAAACAAAGCACTGTAGAAATATATAGCATGGCACGCAAGATACTCTGTTGATTCACTCGTGAGGTGAGTAGGTAGTTCACACACCTCACACAAGGAGGATGGAAGAAGAACCCAGAATACCCCAGCAGGCAGTCAATTCCATGCACACACACATGGGCACCCTGGCAGCACGACACTTACCTGAGTGGCCGGGCTCTTGAGATGAAAGAAACTCACCCCCCTCTCACATATTCCTCCTGGCCCAATTAGCATCCTCTACACTAGTGTCCTATCGTCTAGGAGGGTCAACATCTACCCCAAAGTACAATGCCGGATCCCCCGTCGATGTTGAAGATCGAAGTAGCAACTTGCAGTCCGTAGGTGCAGATATGGCTGCCACCCTCAAGCTCGCCTAACTTGAGGGGAGCCCTAAAGTCACTCCTCGTCTTCCTTGAAGTCCAGATTCAAGTTGTAGGTGCCCTTCATTGTCGCCTCTCTCAAGTTGCATCACGAAGTCCCACCTTGTGTCTCGCCACCACAACATCCACTCAAGCTACCTGGCCGGGTCTAATGTCGACACTACACGGCCCTGCCAGGTGGGAGCAGCTCAGAGGTGAACATTTTTTTTTTGAAATGCCACTTCACCCAACCCACCCAAAATTTTCTTAGTACATGCAACCCTTAAAAAAAAAAAAAAAAGAAGGTTTGAATTTGATCCAACCCACCCAAGCATTTTTTTGAATTTTTCCGCCCACGCCCAACCCACCCGCCACCCGTAAAAAAGGTTCACCCAGACCCACCCGCACCCGCAAGAAAATCATTGCCCGCCCGCACCCGGGATGTAGTATCTTTTCACCCGCAGCCGGCCGTGCCCGCTATTGTCTATCCCTTCAAACATTTACAGACAATAGGACATTATGACGTGACATGACAAAATCAAACACGAGAGAGAGAGAGAGAGAGAGANGAGAGAGAGAGAGAGAGAGAGAGAGAGAGAGAGAGAGAGAGAGAGAGAGAGAGAGAGAGAGAGAGAGAGAGAGAGAGAGAGCTCTGTCTCTCTCACAGGAATCACCCACGTCTCTCTCTATCTGTCTCTCTCAGAGGAATTGCCCACGTCACGGCCTTGCCTCTCTCTCTCTCTCTCTCTAACATTGGATCCCATGCCTGAATCGGAGTGTGTTTGTGGAGAGATGCGAAAAAGTGGAGTCTGCCTCTCTCTCTCTCTCTCTCTCTCTCTCTCTCTCTCTCTCTCTCTCTCTCTCGATTGCTGCTCACTCGTAGTAGCGCTGTTGCTCCCCAGGCCGTCAATGCGTGGCTCCCCAGGCCGTTGGTGCGTGGCTCGCAGCCGCGCTGTTGCTCCCCAGGCCGTCGGTGCGTTGCCCCCCTCCTCGCCGCCCCACCACCTCCTCCCTGCTGCTGAACCATGCACAAGTTGTGCCGTCGCCGGATGACGGCGCCAAAATTCAAAGCGCTTTATAAGTTCAAAAGTGGGGAGCGAACCTTGCCAGATGTTGTGGTTAGGTTCGCCCCCTGTTGTTGTAATGGGAGCGAAACTCAGCACCCCATTTGAAAGTGGTAACTCATCCAAACGTGGGCCGTGGTGCAGCCGCCAAGAGGCAAGAGCAGCATGCGAAAAAATTGATAGAAGGTTCCTCCTTTTTTTTTTTTTCCAGGAGGACCTCGACCTTTTTTTTTTTTTCCAGGCAGGCCGACGACGGGACTGGGGGTCCTCATGGGTTGTCCTGGGTCTGTGGGTCGGGTGACCCAGGCCTAGCACTCACCCACCTGTCACCCACCCACTTGGGTGACACAGGCCTAATGTTGACCCACCTGTAACCCACCCAGGCTGCCTGGCCTTGACCCGCCCTCATCCCTCCCAGGTCACCTTATCAAGACCCGCACCTGACCCAATGTGCTCGTGGGTGGGGTGGGTGCAGGTGGGTGCGGGTCTGGGTACCCGGTGCTCATCTCTGGAGCAGCTTCCCTTCACCACACTGCCCCACTTAACCCTAACTTCCAGCCCTAGCCCTAAGTGGTTAGCCCTTACCACTTAGGTTAGGGTTATGGCGGCAAAGTCAACTCTCGCCAGCAAGTAGAATCCGCTCTGATACCAATGTTACGATCCTGGCCAATTTCAAAGTATACATCCATCAGAAAGGACAATGCCGTCCAATTGCAAAAAGAAATGAATGAACTTGAGAGGAGAGAGAGGGAAACAAGAAAAAGAAGAAGTAAGAAGAAGAAGATGAAGTACTCCAGCATAGACCATTGACAAGGCTCTTCTTCTTCGCCAACCAATCTCCTCCTCCTTATCTCCTCCCCTCTTATTCAAACAAGAAATAAGGCCGAGGCTATGGCGGACTACTGAGGGCTCAACCCTCCTGCCGCTGCTCACTAGGCCGCCATGCCTGTCTCTGCCCCGAGCTTCCTTCGTGCGGCACTACCCCAACGGGGGCCTTCCAGATGCAGCGCCTAATCAAGGTGATGAAGATGGTGTCCACCATAGCCAGGTAGGTACCTCGGCACTCTCCTCCTTAGTCCCCGTCTCCCTCCTCCTCCTACCAGTAGAGCTCCACCATAGCCAAGGTGGAAGCTCCCGGATTCTTCCTCCCAGCAGCGCTGTAGTACCCAGCGCTACTCCAGCCAGCTCTCCAGCAGCGTGTCGCCAAACTTGCACACTGAAGAATGAGGCCGGGCTCTTCCCTCGGCCTCTTGATATAGCGGCCTACTTGCCTCCTGGGCGGTGACTTCCAGGCCGCTCGGCCTCCCAAGCAACCGGTACCTCCTTCCTTTCGGAGGGAAACATCATTGCATACTCTGACATTGCCCGTACAGGCTCTAGACTCAGACTGGATGGACTGGTACCGGCCTAGACCTAGCCTACCGCTACTGGGCCTCTAAAAATGCCAACTTTGTCTTCTTCTGCTCGGCCTCGAGTACCCGGCACATCTACTGCTACTGGGTGCGGTACCGGCCTACCTGCTACTTGAGTGTTTTTCCGCTGCTCTAAGCAGTGCGGGCCCCTGGCTCTGCTACTTTGAGTGTTTTCCCTGCTGCAACCCTCAATGCCATGGCCACAGGTAAGTACCGGCCCTACAGGCCTGCCAAACAAGCAAGTACCCTTGCGGGTCACACACACACTCGTACCGACAAGCACTCAGACAGGCACACTGGTCAACAAGCATGCACACACACAGACTTAGAAAACTCCAGACATCAGCAGTGTTCTCAGTCTGTGTTATGGCAGGTCATTACAGTGCGATTTTGCAGGTCATTAAATTCGTTATTCTCATCGGAGTATTTGAGCTCAGGTCTTTATTTCATTACTTCATTGGTACTGATCTTTCCATTTTGTTGCTGATCTTTCCACCTGAGCGAGGCCCATTGGTACTGATCTTTTCATTTTGTTGCTGAACTTTCTTTTTGAATTTTGTAGTGATTGTTTTTAGTGTCAGAGTTAAAACATCTTGAGTTGCAAGATGGTGCACGTGTCTACCCTTTGGGCCGGGGGTGGTGTGTGTGTGTGTGTGTGTGTGTGTGTGTGTGTGTGTGTGTGTGTGTGTGTGTGTGTGTGTGTGTGTGTG